AGCTGTTCCTTGAACAAGCTCCACATTTCAATTGTGCCCAGCCCCTGTAGTTTCCTTCTCCATCCTATGCATCCTAAATCTTGCCTCATCGCCTCATAATTGCCTTTCCCCCAGCTATAACTCTTGCCCTGCAGTATATACCGATCCCTTTCAGATCCGATCTGATTGAAACTTACAGAATACTGAGCGGCCTGAATAAAGTGAACATGGAGAAGATATTTCCAGGAGAAGAGACCAGGACCTGAAGGCACAGCCTCAGAGTAAAGGGACAACCCTTTCAAATTGAGATGGGAGCAATCATCGGCAAACATCCCATTTCTGACCTTATGATGGAGGGAAGGTCCTTGATGAAGCAGCTGAAGATGGTAGGGCTGACGACAGTACCCTGAGGAACTCCTGCAGAGATGACTGGAGCTGAGATGATTGACCTCCCACAACCACAACCATCTTCCTCTGTGTCAGGTATGACTCCAACAACCAGAGAGTTTGCCTCCTGATACCCACCGATTCCAGTTTTGCTCGGGCTCCTTGATGCCACACTCGGTCGAATGCAGCCTCGATGTCAAGGGCTGTCACTCCCACCTCACCTCTGGAATTCAGCTCTTTTGTCCGTGTTTGAACCAAGGCTGTAATGAGATTGGGAGCTGAGTGGCCCTGGCAGAACCCAATCAGTTCTAATGCATGAATCGCAAAAGACGAGTTTGCAAGTACAGCCAATCATCAGGAAAGCTGATTTGATTTGATTTTGATTTTGATTTTGATTTTGATTTTGATTTGATTCATTGTAGTCAAATGTACCTAAGTACAGTGAATAGTTTTGTTTTGAGTGCAGTGCAGGCAGATCACAACACACAAGGACATACAGATCATGGGGTGTTTAGACAGAGTGAGACATATGAGGTTATACCTGCACAGGAGGTGCACAAAAGGAAGATCAACATTAGATTTGAAATTTGAGACAGCCATTCAGCGAAATGTTCTGGTTTATTGTGAGGGGCATTGAATGCAAGGGTAGGGAGGATATGCTTAAAACAGAGATGAAAGGAATTTCTTCCCCCTCATGAGTTGTTAGAGCTCTGTCTGTGAAAAGGTGGTAACAGCAGAGAGCCTGAATATTTATAACGCAGAGCTAGAAGGATTCTCGATCAGTGAGGGGGAATGATTGATATTCCAAGGAGACAACAATCAGCAGATCACCGTGAGCTGACTGGGCAGAGAAGCAGGCTCCAGGGGACAACAGTGCACTCCTGGTGCTAATGCTCAAATGTATACACACACACACACGCACACACACACACACTCACACTCTCACACACACGCATTCACATTCCCACACACACACACTCATACACACACACACTTACACACACACTAACACTCACACAGACACACACACTTACACACACACACTCACACACACACACACTCTCACACACACAGTCCCACACACACACACACACACACACACATTCACATTCCCACACACACACAC